ACGTGATGAAAAATCGGCTTTATATTATGCTCCGATTCCAAATATTCAACTTTATAATTGTAATTTGACAATATTACTGCCCATCTACGTAGTCTGTTGGCTGAAAATTGGGGTATACCTTTAGCTGGGTTAAAAATAATTATTAGAGGTAAGTGATCTGTAACTAGGATAAAGAAATGTCCAAATAAGTATTCATTAAATTCATTTAAGCCATAAATTATTGCAAGGCCCTCTCTTTCAATTTGGGAATATTTTTGTTCCGACTTTGATAAGGTACGCGAAGCAGAAGATATAGATTTCTCAATATTTTGTTTAAAAACATGACATATCATGGCCCTTATTCCCACATTTGATGCTTGTACGATTAATTTAATCAACAACTCAGGCTGAAAATGCACAAGAACATCATTTGTTGTTAATTTATTTTTGATTAATTCCAAAGATTCCTTGCAAGAATTATTCCAAATCCATTTCACCCATAAAAAATAAAATTAAAATAAGTCCTCAAGCAAAATCATATCCTACTTCCTCTTAGTAACCTAAAAGAAGTACTTCTCAAAAAAAGGCCCTCAAGCCAGGTCCCTCCATTTTGTGGCGATAGTACTTTTTTTTACTATGATTATTTTCTTCGCGGAGCCCTCACAAAGGCTTTACGGCGCCCCAGGGCTCCGCGGACCACACTTTGAGTACCTAACACTGTTATAGAGAAATACTAAATAAATAGTTTTGAAAAAACTATTGAAACCAGTTGTGAAGTTTGAAACGAATTGGCAATGCAATTGATATTTTTGTATTTGATTGTATGTTACTCTTTCCACTTCCTGAAAAAAGATTCTCCATTAAACAAGAAATAGTAAACAGTTTATAATAATAACCTTTATTTGCTACTTATAACATGTACCAATGACCAAGTACGATTCTGTTTATTTTTAAATCAACAAATATGGACGTCGACAGAATCTTTAAAAATTAAATATCTCACCGAAATAAATGTAAGTTTCTTTTATCTCCGTCACTTTTATTATAAATAAAGCTTTTTACAACACATTTTCGCATTTTCAATGTTAATTTCCAAAATATAAATCACTAAAATAACAAATTAATTCTCGTTGACACATTAAATTTGGATGGACAACGCTCTGACATGTGATGTTCTCAACTGTGATTGGTGGGTATGAATAATTTCGAAATGGGATTATGCGCAGTGTCTTATGTTCCATCTAAGGTTTGTATAATCTAAGGTTATTACATATCTGTTGTTGGAATAGGCTGGTATCCAGAGTTGTACTCAGGATGTACTATTTAACTTTTTAGTTAATTTTATTTACTTAATTTAACATATACATACACAACTTTATTACTTTTTTGTTGTTTAGATACTTTATGTTATACCTAGTATTAATGGAGCCTTAAAAATATTTATTATTATAAATATCTCGACAGAAAGGATCTAAATTGCAAAATTTTATAAAAAACCTTATCTTAAATTATTGTTAAAACACGATATTAAACTATTGGACAATCATTACGTCATACCCAGTATAGGTTTCTATTACTGCAATTATTAAAAATGCATAATTGATTCGTAAAAATAAAAAAAGAGAAATTTTATAGTCTATAAATATATGGCTGTTCCATTTGAAAAAACATGTTTGCTTTATAACTCAAAAATAGTAAATATGTAACAAAAATTATCTATACCACTGCATTGGAAAAATCTATGAGAATAATATTTTACCTTTTGGATAAGTTGAAGGATAACGGAAATACGAGGGGAGTCCCAAAATGCAATATTTTCAGCAACGCCCTGTATCTTAAAAACTAAAAGGGCTATGAAAATGTTGCTAACGGCATCTTTAGTTTTACAAAAAATTAGCATAGTGACGCAAAAATCACAACCCTCTATCTTTAAAAATAACGGAACGCAAAAGTACCCATATATTTTACTTCAGTTGGTAATATTCAAGATGTACATATGAAACTTGATTTAATAAAGAGTAAGATGCCACTTTATTAAACAATGAAAATAACATGCAGTATTTATTTTTAAGAGCTTATAAAACCATCACACCTTGTAACAATTAGGAAAGTTTAACCCTTATGGAAAGGAGAAACAGTGGGCTATTAAACAAAGAAAAATAAATTGAAACAACAGTTGTCCTACTCCAAAAATACAGAATGTCATTTCTGGTTAAGCCAGATATGGGCTAAAAATGACGGGTACACAGAAGAAACTTATAAATATAGAAGAAAACAGCATTTCTTTATTTCGACAGTTCACAAGTTACATGGTTTTAGAAACGTTCAAAATATAATGGAACACATGGTATAAAGACAATGAAATACTGAGAGTTTAAAGCGTATTTATAATGGTCAGTTTGATAGAAGTTTAAATTAAACAGTGTAAGTCAAGATTGATTTTGAAAATTTTCAGTTAATTCGATAAGGAAAGTTATTAGATAATATTTAAATTGAAACTTTGAAAAAGTTTTCAATTATATGTTAACAATAAGTTAATTTCGTAAGTTTTCATAAAGTATGACATATTAAGTTTATTTTTTAAAGTTTAGAGTGAGACAAATTCAAACTTGCCGTAAGTTGGTAATAAATATTTAACAAACTTGCAAGGGGAGTTGCATTTATATTAATTGTAAGCTTGCAATTAGCCTTTTTCCTGGGAAGATTTAAAAAAGATCCACTAGAGGCAGCACCGGTGGGGGTACATATGTTTCGAATTCTCTATTGACAACAACGTCAAACGTACGTTTTATTATTATTAGAATAAATAAATATTGTGATAAATAAAATTAAAAAACAAATTGTCATGCCTACAAAACATTGTGCGTTTGCAAATTGTACGTCTGACAATCGTTACAAGCAAGATGGTGTAAAATTTGTGCCTTTTAGAAAACCACAAGTTGACAAAAAAAGTGTTTGAAGTAGATACATTTATCACGAAGGGCAGATTTAACAGCTGAAAAAACAAAAAACATACTTTAATTTGTACAAGACATTTTATTAATTCAAATGGACCAACAATAGAAAACCCAAATCCATTGCCAGCGACAGTTTCAAAGGTTAGTAATTGTTTATTTAAAGAGGTTATATTTTATATCAGTCTACATATTATTATCATTATTGATAGTCAATAATGAACTCAATAATGGACTCAAGCACTGGAAAAAATAAACATCAAAAACTTATCTGTTCTACTTTTACTGATGTTGAATCACTACAAATTAGAAATAAAAATGCTAATAGTAATCAAGAATCCCAATTAAATAATGATTTAGCCTCTGATCTTGCACTTTTGCAACTTTCAATTTCGCTCATTTTCCGTTCATTTCCATTATAAATCTATACGTTTGACGTTGTTGTCAATAGAAAATTCAAAACATATGTACCCCCCACGGGTGCTGCCCCTACCGGATCTTTGTTATATCTTTCCAGGAAAAAGGCTAATACATTTGCAGCGAAAGCATTTTGCTTAGTGGGGTCATTGCACTGATCTGGGTCATTGTATTTTAATAATATTTATACCTAATATTAATCTTAATTATTCTATGAAAGTGTTTTTACATGAACTCTCAATGTTTTTAATTTCGACGAAAAAATATCCTAAAATCATTTTTAAAATCAGTAGGGCAAATAAAATTCAAATCTAGAACCACTCCACTATCTTGTTTAAATCTCCTTGACCAGATTTTATTTTTTTTAATAAAATTGTTTTGTGTTCATAGGAAAAACATTGTGTGAAAGTGATTTTTCACATTCGTAATGTAATATACTATTACTTTTGCCTTTTGTAAAATAATAGTATATTATGCAACGATCATGTAATGATGGTTATTAATACACGAGCATTAACCGGGATACGAAACGAGCCAAAGGCGAGTTTCGTATGGTTTATGCGAGTGTTTTAATAACCATTACATGAGAGTTGCATACGCTATTTTTTCTACACCCGATAAGTAATCAAGACCTATAAATATTATATTTATATTGGTATTGAACACAATAACAGTAATTACTCGTATTTCTATAAAAAATTCTACAAAATTGTAATTAATGGTATTACTTCAGGTATTGGTATTTCCCTAGATTTTTGCGGTAAAATATTTTGTACTGTATTTTCTGCTTTCTCCGATATGTGTGGAGGAGTCTTCTATATCGCTAATATCAGACATTTTAATATTATAATTATCGAAGTTTAGCTACCTACGAAAATTTAATACGTTTTGACAACTAAAATAATTACATAGGAACCTAGGACAAACGTCAAACAGCATGCTTGATTGAAAAATTGTAGGTTTCTATTGATTAAAAATCTGTATCGTAATGAAAAATCTGTATCATAATGGGTATCATTATGAAACGGATTATGGGCATATAAGTGCATTATTATAATACGGGTGTAGAAAAAAATCATTTTCAGCATTTACTAAATTAAATCAAAATCTTTAATTCGTAATAAACGTACCATCTTTACCGTCTTCTTTTTAAATAGTTTTTTAATTATAATTTACCATCTAATAAGTATTTTTAAGTATTTTTACCAGCTTTCCAATGACTTATGACAAGTAGGGTGTAGCTACTTATTAATTTTTTTTTGTTAAGTTAGGTGGAGCTTAGGGGGTTAATGGGGGGGTTCCTCTTCCTATTTTAGTGACGATTTTAAGCATTTTTATATTTGATATTATCTTTAGATCAAGAGTAAGTTTTTAAATTGTTACCCTGTATACCTAACATAAAAACTAGTCAATAATTATATTTTATCACACCCTATCAATGGTTATTTAATTTATTGACAGCGTATTAGCTGATTAAATACCTACTAATATACTTTATAATAAAAATCAATAATTTGTCGTTTTATGACAACCTTTAAAGCAACTGCATCACTACATCATAAATAACTTTTATTAACAAAAACTGCATTAATTAAAAAGCAAATTTACGTAATTCCACTCTTCTACCGGCCGGTTTTCAAAATCACTCACCCCTTCTCCTCGTATATTTGGGAATATTTAGCCAAATATTTGTCCTGACATCCTGCCCATCCGAACAAAAGAATAACGGGAATCTTCTCTTCGTTAACGACAAACACGAAATCGTGTTCTCCATTTTGGTTGTAATTAAAATTTGGATTTGGGAATTTTATGTAATATTCCAGGTTATCCAAATCCGCCATCGTGTGTATCTTTATGCGCTTGCACTCGACTTATTGATCTGGTTGTTTGACAGGTTCAAAGAAGTGTATCCAAGGGGCGGGAAATAGAAAATTATTCATTCATTT